TTTATAAACATAAGCAATCCAAAATATGTAACACACTTGAAACACCCTGTATATGAGGTATTGTTTTCGCTCTAGGATACGGAGGTGGTTATGGGGGAGGTTACGGGGGAGGTTATGGAGGACATGATGAGCACGTGAAAACCATCGTGGTAGAAAAGAAGGTTCCAGTCCCATACACCGTTACTAAACATGTCCCCTATACTGTGGAGAAGAAGGTACCTTATGAGGTTAAAGTGCCAGTGCCACAGCCCTACACCGTGGAAAAGAAGGTGAGTCTCACTAGTTCGGGCTTGGGTGAATATCAGGGACATTCTGCGCGTTTAGGTTCCCTACCCAGTGAAGGAAATCATCAAAGTGCCTTACATAGTGCATCAGCCCTACGAGGTGATCAAAAAGGTCCCCTATGAAGTGAAGGTGCCAGTGCCCAGGCCCTACGAAGTCAAAGTGAACGTGCCCCAACCCTACACGGTGGAGAAGAAAATCCCGGTACCCGTGAAGGTGCCAGTGCCACAACCCTACACCGTCTACAAGAAAGTTCCCTACCCAGTCAAGGTTTGTTGGGCATCGGCAACTCGTTTCCGATATCACCGCGGTTGCTTTTGCAGTATGAAGTATCAGTTCCCCAACCCTACACCGTTGAGAAGAAGGTACCATATGAAGTTAAGGTGCCAGTAGACAGGCCGTATACAGTCCATGTACCCAAACCATACCATGTTACGGTGGAGAAACATGTTCCCTACCAGGTAGACAAGCCAGTGCCCTATGAAGTGAAGGTACCCGTGGATAGGCCCTACCCAGTTGAAGTACCCAAGCCCGTGCCCTACCCAGTCAAGGTAGGGAGTTTGCTGCGGCTTAGTTATTGCTAGGTGAAAACATGCGACTTTCCATAGGTACCATACCCACAACCCTACACTGTTGAAAAGAAAGTACCCGTCGAGGTGGAGAAGCCCGTACCATACCCAGTGAAGGTGCCAGTCGACAAGCCTTATCCAGTTTACAAGGAAGTGCCTTATCCAGTAGAGAAGCCAGTGCCGTACCCAGTCAAGGTTCCAGTGGCAGTACCAGTGAAAATTCAGCAGGAAAGCCACGGCTGGGAAGGCGGTTTCGGAGGTGGCCAGGGAGGTTACGGAGGAGGCCAGGAAAGCTACGGGGGTGGCCAGGAAAGTTACGGAGGCGGCGAAGAGGACTGGGGCCACTAGTCCGGTCGCTTTTTAATTGTTAACTTGATGAGTGGAGGCCTGGAAGGTGACTGCTAGTGCTTGAAGACCCTCAATGGCCAGAAGTGGCAAAAATGCGAGTCTTAAGCATATCAGCAGGCTGAGTCCAGTTTGCCACTTGTCTCCAGTGAATATTTGTTGATTCTTGCCAACTCAAAACCCGTACAAAAAAATAAATAACAAATTCGTAGCGAGTGTTTCGTAATCCGGTGTTGCTCAAATTGTGAAAATGCTTTCCGGGGTTTCGTCGAAACGAAACCAGGAAAGCGTGCAGTATTATTACGCAAGGGACTGTGTTAATTAATTTGTATTTATCTATTATTAATGAACAATTTATTTTGAAATAAGCTTGGTTGTTTTCTGTGATTGATGACCTTCACTATTATCCCGACCTGAAATCTCCTTTCCAATTTTTCGCTCTGAAAACTCATTAGGCTCGAAAAACCAGCAGTTTTTCAAGTGATGATCTTTAAGCATTGATCTCAGATGGTACTCAAGCGTGCTAGCGAAACGATTTTATTATGTAATATTTGATGAAAACGAGCAATTTGCAGGCCTAAACAACAAACAGTAATTAACAATTTAACGCAAATAATTGCGGCTTTTGTGTTCACATTAAAACAATTGCCTCCAAATGGAGAATTGCATAAACAAAGTGCACTCGTTTCGCTTAATGGAAGAGATTGTATTCGTCGGCATTAATTACCATCGCCAGTCGCTAATTTGCCTTAAATCCGATACGGTAATTTAGCCGTCGATTTCGCAATGAATAACTTGTTCGAATTTGGAGCGATTTGAGCAATTTAAAATTCCGCGCTGGCTATTAATTATTGCCATAATATCGCCGGTGCGTGTTCGTTTAAAAAAAAAAAATAATAATCGAAAGGCCCACTGGACTTAACACCTTCGTTTTAAGCAACACTTTAGTTAAGAGCATTTAGTGTTATTACGGGGTGGGGCCGCCAAGCTAATCGAATTTGGAAACCTACAGTTTCCAAATTAAGGGTTTGGGTACAAGAAGCTTTTTGCCAGTCATGAAACCTTTAAAATTCGGGCTTTTAAATGCGTGAAAGCTGTAATTTGTCGAGTTTATACTGTTCTAACGTTCTTTTGAAGTTTTACGCGAGCTTTGCCTTTTTTTGCTGGGGAATCATGCGAAAGCCCAAGTTGATTGCGTCCATTTTAGTACACAAATAGCAACCCTAAGAGGTTGGCAAACTTCGGGAAAAATCACTAAAAACTGCACGTTTAAAAGCTTTGCCGGAAACTCCAACGACGTTCCAAAGTCAGTTACTTATCAACTCGGGACGCCCTGTATATATCAGTTGCTATCTAATTATATGCTTGGAGTTGCCTTGCGACTTGGGAAACTTCTCGCTTGCATAGCAAATCCAGTTTAATGTGGCAGAGCGCAAATTATGGAGTTTCCGCAAGAAAAGCGATCAGGGCTTTCCAGTAATATCTTGAGTTGATGGGTCAGTGGTGGAGGTTTCCAAGATTACCAAACCATCGG